CTGTCTCTCTAAGACAGAAGCTTTCTTTTCCCAATAAATATATTCTGCTCTTAAAAGAAAATAATACTTCCCATAAATGCACAAAAAGTGGTTTGTGGTAGTTGCCTTGTTTGTTTTTGGTCTTTTTTGATTTTACTGTATTTTTGTTTGATTGAATATTTGCGGGGAGAGGTGGTGGTGTCTATTTTTGGTGCTGAAGACCAAACCCAGAGCTTCCAGTTTGCTAGGCAAGTGTTCTACCACTGAGCCAAATCCCCAGCCCTGTGGTTTGTGGTACCTGTATAGTTCTTTAAGAACTACACATACCATTTTTTTTTTGTTTTGTTTTTTTTTGGCCAGCTCACCCCACCCTGAGGTCAAGGCTGGTGTGACATGTGGTACTAGGGATTAAACTGTGGTCCCTTGTGCCTGCCTATGCTTGCCTAAGCAGGCACTTCAGACCACTGAGCCATCTCCCTGGCCCTACACATACTTTCTTAATTATATATTAACATGCTCAAAGAGTAATTTACATAACACATATCTAATTGCTGAAGATAAAAAAGTGGTAATGTATTACATGTAATTTTGTTTTGGTATTGATTTTCTGTTCAGTATTTTGCAGATTACAAAAATACATGTTGCTAATTAAGAAAAACTAAATCTAATTTAAATGACAGAGTAATTTAAAAATGACTTATTTCAGTAATAAAGCAAGTTTAATCTGGGGTATTTATAATGTAGTCTTATCTGAGACTTCATCTACTCTGCCTTATTGCAGTGACTGGATGAACCATTGATGAAGGAATTTTGAAATGCTTTTTAAAATCCACCAGCATGCATGAGTTTATATCAGGTCCTATTCTCCCACAATTATAATTTTCTCAAAGAGCAGTACTATACAGATTCTTCTGAGAAAAGGGAACTACCCCAAGATTTGCTTTTGAATTTGATGTTCGAATGTGTTTTCATCCCAATACATGCTGTCCTTAGTTTAAATATTTTTTATTGGAAGGGCATAAAAAGTCTCAAATAAACCTAATATTATTAGGATATGCAAAACAATACTTGGTATTACCTTAAATAGGAGGCATTTTTCCAGAGAAGAGAGATAGGGAGTCTGTAGTGTTTCTTGAATGAGTGGGGTGTAACATCTATTAGATTAATATGTTAATAAAAAAAGAATACATGCTCTAAGATTAGCTCAACAAGTACCATTAGTATATTTACATAATGGACTCATAGATCATGATTCACGATTTTTTCAGCTTTTTTTTTTTTTTTAACAGATACTGAACTACTATTGACTGTCACTCCTAATAGTATCATAAAGATACTAGGATGATCGCAAAGATATAGGAAGATAACAAAGACATAGGAAGTGTTTTCTAAATTTTAAAGATTTTAGCTCAAATTAGAATTTAACTGAAGTAGCCTTGCCACTGTCCATTTACTGCCATGTACTAACTGCACATTTCTGTTCTTTGATTTTGTAAAGCAATTTATTGCACATAACTTCTAACATTTTATGCTCCTAGTGCCATCTGTCATGGAGAAGGGTAACATTAGCTGTAGAATGAATGAGAGAAATGATTCCCAGAGTAAGCAATCCTACTGAAGTAGCAATATTATATTTAAATTGGAACAAAAGACTAGGCAGTCATTACAGGGCCAAAATTTGATAAGGCAAGTAGAAAGTAAGTGGATTTTATGTTTTAGATAAACTCTGAGACACTGGCAGCACTATGTACCATAAAGGTGAAATAAACAATAATAATAAAATTGCAAACCAACCTCTGGGAGCCCAGTAGCCTTTTGCTGGAAACTGGAGATATCATTCAAATACTGTATTTTGTTGATAACTTCCTAAGTGACAGGGGAGGCAAAGATATAGAGCATACCCGGCCAAGCAACCATGACATACACTGTAGATTTGGAATGAATGCTACTAAGATAACATGCCTCTCTCTCTCAGGAGGCAGTTGACCATGTGTGTCATCTCTTCTGCTTTATCATTGAGAAAGACTGGATGTGAGGGGCCAGCAGTGTTGATGGGCATTGATCTGTGTCAGTAAGGAATTAACTCAGAGTTTCAAGGACTGAGAAATGACTTTCAGCTTTCCCTTTTAAAGGAGATGGTATCTCATATTCTGAGTTCAGAGATGGAAAAAACAGAAATTGAGAAAAGCAAGGTAAAAAGTCAAATAGCTTGGATTAAGTGGGGAGGAAAGTTTTTTTTCTTCCTATATTGTTTATTGATAATTGTACAATGGAAGTTCATGCTTTGCAGATAGTGAGAGTTAGGGAAAGAATGTGGAATATTAATTTGAAGATGACTAAAAAATTATCTTTATATTAATCTCTCTAATTACAGCCCCACACTAACTATTGCTTTCATAAAACACTGTAGAATACATAGCTCTGAAATCCTAGCCATGTAACTATTTTCAGATGGAAGCATAAAAATAATATCCAAAACAGAAATAATAAATGTGAGTAAAAATTAGACTTTGAATATTTAACTGCAATGTTATTGCTTCCTCTTGGCAGTGTGTTTCCAATTTTAGGGGTTGTGGGAGAAAGACAGACTGCACGTGTACCACCTCCAATATTAGCTTCATTTGCTTAGAAGAGCCAATGGTTTCATTTTCAGGCTTAATGCCCTTGAAGTTACTTAATAATTTCAAATTTCATTCAACATGCCTCTGCCCTCAAAACCATGTCTAATGATTTCACTTCTTTTGATTTGTAGAGTGACAGAGTAAATAAGGTTAACATTTCTCACTAGTATTGCAAAATACCTTCATTAAGACAGTTACTAAGAACGGTCATACATAATGCACGATGCATAGATACTCATGGTTTCTCTCTCAGTAAATTTACTCTACTCACACTATTGTATGCAGAGCTTGTGTGACTACACAAGATGATTAGTTTGTCTAAAAATTTTAGTAGATTCACTCAGGTAGGGCAGGCTGGGGGAGGGGAGTGAGGAATCATAATAATAGATTGTAATAATGTTTAACTTTAAAAATACACCGTAATACTACAAACACTAAAAGCTGTTCAAAGCAGTATATAAGAAAAATATCCTAGAGATGTAGAAAAACACATTCAAAGATAAACAGAAAATCCAAATAAAAAATTAACAAATAAAACAGCAAAAATTGAAACTTGGGTACATTTCTGTGACAGTAAACCTCTTCTCCATTTTGCAAAACAACTACTTATTTGTGTATTGCATTATGTTAGGTTTAAAACTTTAGGGGGCCGGGGAGCTGACTCAATGGAATAAGCGCTTCCTTGGCAAGTGCAAGGGCCTAAATTCAATCCCTGGTTCCGGGGGGCAAAAACCTCCAAAACTTTAGAGATTAGGTTTTTTAAAGTTATATATCTTTTTTTTTTTTTTTTTTTTGCAGAACAGGGGATTGAATTCAGGCCCTTGTGCTTGCCAGGGAAGTGTTTATTCTACTGAGCCATCTCCCTGGCGCCTAAAGTTATATATACTTTCTCATGTAGCATTTTATCATCCACTTATATGATAGACATATTGTATTCACTGTACTGTATTAAATCCATACACATGTAAATATTTCATGATCACTTCTATAATTCTGATTAAACATTCCAACAAAATGTTGTCTAGATACAAATGTTCCTTTTATTTTTGTTAAGTTTTGTTCAGGAAGAAAATTTCAACAAGGCTGCTGAACAGACCTTCTTGGAAGATGAAGACTTTCTCTGCAATAAAAAGTTACAGAGATTTTCCTCTAAAGCTTCCTGCCTTAGAGCCAGTATTACTGGAGACAGAAGTGCCTCAAGTCTAAGATCAGAGACATTTGTTTGAGCAAGAAGATTTAATCGAAGTCAGGATGGTATAAGGGGGCAGGATTTTCACCAAGTGCATTTGTTACATTCTTGAATGTTAGATTACAAGTTGGTAAATTCATTGTTTGGTTTCTGTTTTTTAAACTTTATTTTTTAGTCCTTCCTGTCTTCCTCCCTCTCTTCCTCTAGTCTTCCCTCCTTTACTCACTCTGCTCCTCCCTCCTTTCCTCCCTCCATTCCTTCCTTCGTTTCCTCCCTTCTCCCATCTTTCTTTTCTTGAAAGTCCAACACAGCTTTTCAGAGATAAGCTGTAAGTTATCTATTAATGGGTGAATGAATTACAAATTGCATTGAAACTTGTTTCTTTTCATCCTTGAAAATAAAACTCATCTTTATTAATGTGCTTTTACTATGAGGTATATGAAATCATCAAATGTCACCCTTCAAAATAAGATTCATCTTTACTAATGTGCTCTTACTGAGGATCATGAAATCATTAAATGTTATCAGGAAGATTCCTGTGTTATGCGCTCCATCCTCAGCATGTAGCGGCTTATCCCAAAGGGTGAATGTAAGAGCTACTCATGACCCCAGAGACAGAAAGCATCTAAATTGTGAAGTGTTTGGCTGTTAGGAGGTTTGTTGTTCCTTATACTAATTGTTCAAATAGAAAGCAAACACACATTTACTGTTTATGGTTTTCTGTAGATATTTCAGCATCCTTTTCTCCAGGTACGATTGAAAAGGTTATACCCTATTACTATCACTGCACTCCAAATATTCCTGTAATATGCTATTTATTTGGATGTTGGGTTGCTTTTTGAAATTGCGGTTTGCCAAATTGAATGTGCTCCGTGGTTTGTAGTTTTGCCTGCAGGAGTCCACAGATGATCCTTAAGAGCTTACCTGAACAGGGGATGGTGGTATATTGGCATTTACTTCCCATAGATATATCTTAGAGACAGAAGTTGCTAGGGTTTTTTGTTTGTTTGTTTGTTTTCAAGCACTATTGGCATCTTAATGCTTGCCACTTAACATATTCCTCTTTCTCAAAATAGAATAAAAATAAAATACATGCAGATCTCTAACTTCCATCATGAGAATACAATTTATAATGAACAAATGACTACAGCTGACTAAGTGATCATAGTGCACATATCACCATGAGCCACAGGCGAAGGTTGAGGCCCTTTGCAGACTCACTCTGCGATTGGCTGCAGGCTCCAGGAGGTGCTTTCCTGTCAGCCAGAGAATATCCCAGGGAGCTGTGGGAGTCTCCACCTCTAAAGAGAGTGTTGCAACTTACTGAGGATGAAGGAAAAAAAGTTGAAGGTCCCTTAAGGCAAAGCAGAACTCTTCTTGACTGACATGACACTGGATTGGAGAGCAACCTAGTTTTTTTTTTTTTTTTTCTTATAGTTAGTTCTAGTTGCTGTGGAGGCAGTAGGGCCTCCTATGATTTAACCTAACTCACAGAGTCTGGAAACAGGCAGTCTCAGAGCTCCATGGATTGCCATTTGATGATGGCTGCTTATTCTCAATACAGGCCCTGCCAACTACAGCCCTTTCCCAGGAGCCACTTTCTGTATCCCTTGTCTCTTAATTTTTCCAAAGCAGAATCAATTTGTCTCCCCAGAGCCATCATACTTTCTTCTTAGATATCCTTAGAAATAGACCATGAGTCTTAGAGTGTAGAAGGATGATGCCTTGTACCACAAAGGCAAATCTGATGGTGTATTAACTACTTGCAGCCGCAACTAGTGAGTTCATCAGGTTTCTTAGGCTAGGCAGAGGCACTTACAACATCTGAGTCTCTTGCCAACCACTCAGCCTAAAGAAGCCGGGGTTCCTCAGAAACGGTCAGTAAGCCATAAAACTAAGGTATGAGCTAGTAATTTAGTATAATTTCAGAAATAATGAGCTTCTAGAGTGAAGGAGGAGGATGACCAAGTTGAATTGTGTACATGGTTAGCTCTGATGGTCAAAGAGAGGATTCTATGACTTCAGAATGGCCCCCTGTCATGCGAAAATATCAGTGTTTTTCAGAGGAAGCCAGGGCAAAGTCTTAACTTAGCAAAACTAACTGGTTGCAGTTAGTCTTCTCAGTTTTCTGAGCTTCCACTTTGCTTAGTCCTAACAAAACAAATGCTGCAGCTGTGTGGAGGACCACCACACTGCCCTCCCCCAGGCCCAGGCGCGATTGTGTTCACCTGCGAGCAGCGCAGGCTGTGCAGAGGTGACTTCTCTACATTGGCTTTCAGTTTAATTAGTGAGTCTGGGTGAGGCTGTGTTCATATCTTTATGAAAGCAGGTAGCTGATAGATAGACTAGCCTTGTTCATCATCAGCGCCATGGCTGGGCTTAGATAAACGAGCTGTGATACCATGGAGCTAAGATAGGAGATAATGTCTCCGCTGAGGCCTACATGACTAGGGAGGAAATTCCTTCCCAGAATTGGCAACAAAGTGAGTTACTCATTAACTGAGGCCTAAATGTGGCTACTCCTGTCCCTTCTGCAAGAATGCTTTATTCCCTCTGTTACAAGCCTCACCAGCCTTGCCACTTGTCTAGTATATCTCATTGCAGTCCCTTCACCATTTTCCTCAATAAATAAACACAAAGGTTCTGGCTATCTTGTGGCCACCCCTATTTTGTCTCTTACTTTTTCTTTCCACTATGTGCAGTAAGTCCAGGCAGAAGATGGGAGCCCACTGCAGGGGTATCAGATACAGCTGCGATCTTTCTTTCCGACAAGTTCTCTTTTGTAAATGAATTACAGTGGGTACAGTAGTGGTCGCTAAACAGCTCTACCTCTTTGCTCCCATTGCTATTGCATTCCATAGCTTGGAAGGTAGGTCTTATAATTTGGCTTTAAACTTCAGGTAGTTGACCTGAAGGTAGTGGGGCCCAGGCACCACTTATGAGCCCATGGATAGAAATGTGTTTTCAGGTAACTAATTTTCATCTTATCCTTATATATTTTATTTATTT